TTTTAAAATAGCACAGTGGTAAACGTTGTGACTTCTACCAGGTGTAATTTAATATTTCATGACATTAGATTTCTGCCAGTTCACTATATTCAGATTTTCAAAGGAAATGGACATAAGACTGTTCTAAACTTTTGAAATCCTTTAGCAAAATGAGAGTTGAGGCACTTACAGAGGGAGGGTTTTGCAAGGACAAAAATTTGGAAAAGGCTGTGCCGGAGGGAGGGTTTTGCAAGGACAAAAATTTGGAAAAGGCTGTGCCGAGTCCCATTCTACATCCCGCTGAGAGGAAGACAAGGAATTCTTCCTCCTCCCCTCAAAACTAGAGTTAGTCAGGAGCTCTTTGGGGACACTACCAAGGCTTACAGTGTCATTGAACCAGCTGGCAGGCATAGAGGACTGGGTCTTCTGCCTAGGGGATTTAGAGAATGATGGACAGGCTGGCTAAGTTGGGGGACAGGATCAGGAGTGTGCAGTTATATTGAAACCTTTGGGGTAGGGTTAGGAGGCCAGCCGTAGACCATGAGGGAGTGCTGTGGTCTGAATGTCCCCCAGATTCGTGTATTAACACTTAATGTTCAATGTGACAGTATTAAGAGTTGGGGCCTTGAGAAGGGTGATTAGTTCATGAGTGCTCTGCCCTCATGGATGGAGTTAAGCCCTTGTAAAGGGGGCAGAGAGAGCTAGGTTTGTTCCTCTTTGCCTCTCTGCCTTCCCCATGTGAAGACACAGCAGGAGGTGGCGTGTCTGAGACAGAGCAGCCCTCACCAGACATTGAATCTGCTAGCATTGATCTTGGACTCTTAGCCCCTAGAACTGTCCTTGTAAAGTATTTTGTTATAGCACCACAAATGGACTCAGGGGGAGTATGCGTGTGAGGGTATTTTGAGACCTGACCAATAAGGATGCCTGGTGACTTGTGGAAGCTCCAGAAGATAAAATTTCATCGCAAATGCCTAAGGTCTGAGAAAGGAGCCACCAAGGATCGCACAAACCCATATGCTTTTTCCCCTGTGAAAGGAACGGCAGTAGGAAAACGGCAGAGGGTCCAGTAGGCAAACCTCCAGAGCTCTGGAAATCCCCTGTGAGGGTGAAGGTGAGCATCCGTCATTTTCCGGGCTTGAAAACCATGAAGTCATATTCTTCTGGTACTTGTCCAAAGCCCTTGTTACCCCTTCTCCATTCTCCCCCTGCCTTAGGCCATCTCACAGGGGTGGGAGCTGCAGGGATCTAGTTAACTAGTATTCATCTATTGGACTGACCCGAGGTTGTTCTGTGGTTTGAAGTGACCTTGGGATGATCTATTTGATCCTCTGGACTTCCTACTTCTTCTCAGGGGAAGAGTCTTCCTTTGAATGAACTTTGAAGGGATGGTGGAAAAGAATGGAGAAAATTATGTCAATAATATCATGAGTGTGGACATTTGTGCAAAAAAGGCTCTCCTGTCTTGGCCCCTCGGCCACATGTCACCTGTGGAGAAGTTTCTCCCAGGCTTCTCTGCACCCTCTCCTGTAGGTCGGCCGGGAGCAGCTAGCTGTTCCCTCTCCAGCAAACTTACTTTTCCATTTTTTTTTTTTCAGAGAACTAGTGACTATCTGAAAGTGTCTTGTTCAAGTGTCTAGTAGCGATCATTTACTTTCTACTGGACTGCAAGTTTCATCAAAGCAGGGATCTTAATGTCCGGTTCACTAGATCATTCTCAGCAGACATAGGGCTTAATAAATATTTGCTGAGTGAGTAAATAAATTAATGCAAACAGCATAGGAAACATATGTATATTTGCACATATACTTAGGTGAGATTTTTTTTTTGTGGATTATTAATTTTGATACAATAGACCTTCCATCATCCATGGGTTGTACCCAATGGGACTCAACAAATAGCAGATAGAAAAATTTGAAAAATATCACATCTATAATAAACATGTATAGACTTTTCTTCTTGTTATTAGTCCCCCAAAATATAGCACGATGACTATTACATAGCATTTACATTGAATTAGGTATTGTCTTCTAGAGATGATCTGAAGTATATGGGAAGATGTGCATGGGTTATATGCAAACACTACACTATTGTGTATAAAGGACTTGTGCATCTTAGGATTTCAGTACTGCAGGACTTCATGGAACAAATCTCCCATGGACATCAATGATGACTATTTGTTTATGCTGTGGGGGTAACAAATTTCACATTATTTGTATGAATAATTTTCTCAGTTGACTCTTTCATGATAAAGTCATCATGTAAGAGGATATACTAACATTAGAACAAATAATTTCAGAAAAACTAGGAGAAAGAACATTTGAAGGACTAACTACTAGAGAGAATGCAGATACAAGAAACCTCTGTACACTATTGATGGGAAAGTAAACTGGTACAATCATTATGAGAAATAATATGATGTTTCCTCAGAGTATTAAAAATATGACTCAGCAATTGCACTTTGAGTGTATAGTTCATTTTCTATTGCTATAACAAAACACCCGAGATTGGATAAGTTATAAAAAAAAAAGAGGTTTGTTCTGGCCCATGCTTTTGAAGTCCTACATAGCACAGGCATTTGCTTGACTTCTCTTGAGGGCATCATGGCAGTAGAAGGAAGGCAGTAGGTGTGTGTGGAAGAGAAACTTATGTCCATGTGAGGGAGGGAGATGCCAGGCTCACTTTATACTTTTAAAGTAAACAATCCAGTCCCACAAGAGTAACAACTCCCATGAGAAAGGTTAATCCCTCTTAATGAACTAACTACTTACCTCTTAAAGTCTTCCAACGCCATTTAACACTTAGTCCCGCATTGGGACTAAGCTGCAATTTGAGTTTGGGTGGGTGCAAAGCCTATTCAAACCACGGTAGAAAATGAAATCAGTAGCCAAAAAGATCTCTGCACTCTCACGTTCACTGCAGCATCATTCACTGTAGCTACACGAAAACCGTGCGAGAGCCACCCACCAAGAGATGAATGAGGAGAAATTATGGCATGTACACACGGGGAGGGGGGGGGGGGGCATTCTCCAGCCTTGAAAACTGAGATCCTGCCACTGCAGTGACATGGACAAGCCTGGAGGACATGGTGCCCGGTGCAGTACTCCAGATCCAGAACCAAACACGGCCCGACCTCACTTACATGTGCCGTCTCAGACAGCCCAGCTCACAGAGGGGCAGAGTGGAAACGGTGGTGGCCGGGTCAGAATAAGGGAGGAGTGGAGGGGTCTGTCAAGGGGAACAAGGCTTCCGTTATGCTGAATGAATGAGTTCTGGGAGCCCGGCACCGTCATGTGTGAGAGTAGATGTGGGATGGGGAAGCTCAGCTCAGATGGTGGTCCCTGGTGTCACGTTTTTCCTAGGTATCACCCTATGCTTGTCTATATACTTTAATATAGACATGTGTCCCCCAAAAGCAAATGTGTGAGACAATGCAAGATGGTTGAAATGGTGGGGTTACTGAAGCCAGATTTAAAGATAGTAGTTAGTGTAGTTAGGTAAATTGGGTCTAATATGGAGTAAGATAAAGAAAATGGAGACCATTATCGAGGATGGAGTCCAGGAAACCAGAACAACACCTGGGGAAATTGAAATGTTAATGTCCCCAAGACCGGAACCCATCCTAAGGAACTGTTAATGAACTAACAGGGAGGTGCTAATCAAACCACCCCAGGCCCTTCCTGCCCAGATGACTCCTCCAGCCCACCTCTCTCCCACCTTTTGGCCTTCCCACCTGCATTCTATCCCTGCAGGATAAAGGGAAACAAAGGACAGGAATGTGGGGGACTAAGAGAAGACCTTAGCTATAAAAAAGGGAAGGCCTCCCGCTTCCACGGATTCCGCCTTTCGGGTCCTCTTCTTCCTCTGGGGAGAAGTCTTTTCTGCTGCCTTTTAATAAAGCTTCCACTTCCCACTCTCCACTTGCCTCGGCGAGCTTCTCTGGTGATACACTTCAGCATTCGAGGAATCAAGGATCAGGATCGTCACCAGTAAACAGCGGTAACATTATGAGAGCCTTAACTCAGTCGGTAAATTACTCCCCTGATAGGGATTAACTGAGTGGTCACTGTAGGCGAGTAGGTTGCTAACTATTGGACAGAACTCAGACACAAGAAACAAGTGAGTGGTGGGGCCAGACCCTTGGTGAACTCAACCAAGTGGAGGAAATCGTTGAGGGTGTACATTGGCTCGAAGCACTGCTGGAAGAAATGGGCAACACCCAAGCTAAGGAGGATCGTGTTGGAGGGCAGCAGAACACCTTCATGTTCAAGGGTGTGGCTGGAGGAGGTGGGCTCCTGGGGGCATGGCTTTGTCATATATATTTTGTCTTGGTTGAGCAGCACTCTCTCTCCCTCTCTCCCTCTCCTTCCTGTTCCACCCTCATGTTCTGCCTCACCTCGAGCCCCAAGGGATGGAGACAGCTGTCCATGGACTGAGACCTCTGACATCATGAGCCCCCAAATAAACTTTCCCTTCTCTAATTGTGCTTGTCAGGTCTTTTGGTCGCAGCAAGTGGAAATGCTTTCTAAAACATATATTAAATATATATATTAATAATATATATTAAAGTGTATAAATGGTTAACTCTTTACATTTGATATCTGGAGATCTCTGTATATGATCTATCTATTCATCTATCATGAGAATGATCTAATGGGAAGAAGACCGTTCACACAGCCCAAGGATGGATGGAATAAGGTTGGAACCCAGCTCCTCTGTGTCGTTGCTCTGGTAACCAAGGCAGCCTGCAGGCAAAACCAGAGGAGGCAAATCAGGGGAATCGGGTAGGCCCAGTGGTAACTGAGCCCAGGGGACATTTGCATCCTCCCTGAGCCATACCTTTTCTCTCTAGGAGAGCACAACCTTCCTGTCTTGCCCGAGCATCCTGCCCTCTGAGAAGCTCTGGCTCAGATGCAGAGCAGGACCACTCTTCTTGCACCTCCAGGAAGAAGTGAGAGCAGGGCTGTGGGCAGGGAGGAACCCGGGAGCCAGGTGTCTGCGGTGACTGAGGGGAGCCCGAAATGCAGCCACCACTGACAGTCTTCTTCATGCTGCTGTTTGTCCTGCTGTGTTTCCTGGGGAGCCTGGCCAACGGCTTCATCGTGCTGATGATGAGCAGGGAGTGGCTGAGACAGGGTAGGCTGTCGCCCTCCAACACGATCCTCCTTTGCTTGGGTGTTTCCCGTTTCTCCCAGCAGTGCTTTGGACCCGTGTACATCTTCAACTATTTCCTCCACCCGGTTGAGTTCACCAAAAGTCTGACCCGACAGATTGTTTGTCTGCATTGGGACTTTATGAACTCGGCCACCTTTTGGTTCAGCACCTGGCTCAGTGTCCTGTTCTGTATAAAGATTGCTAACTTCTCCCACCCCACCTTCCTCTGGTTGAAGTGGAGGCTCCCGAGTTTGGTGCCCTGGCTCCTTCTGGGCTCTGTCCTGATCTCCTTTGTCGTAACCCTATTCTTCTTTTGGGGGAATCACAATCTGTATCAAGACTTCTTAATTAGACAAGTTTCTGGGAACATGAGCCATAGGGAGTGGAACAGGAGGCTGGAAACTGACTATTTCATGCCACTGAAACTTGTGACAATGTCCCTTCCTTGCTCTCTCTTCCTGGTCTCCATTTTGCTGTTGATGAATTCTCTGAGGAGACACATCCGGAGAATGCAGCACAGCGCCCACAACGTGCGGGACCCCAGTGCCCATGCTCACACCAGAGCTCTGAAGATGCTCATCTCCTTCCTCATTCTCTATGCCATGTCATTCGTGTCTCTGGTCATTGATGCCACGGTCTTCATTCCCTCCGACAGCCTGTGGTACTGGCCGTGGCAGATCACACTCTACCTGTGCATGTCCATCCACCCCTTCATCCTTATCCTCAGCAACCTCAAGCTTCGAGGTGTATTCAGGAAGCTGCTTCTCTTGGCTAGGGGCTTCCGGGTGACCTAGGTGGCACAATCTCTGTGTCTAGACCCCCAGAAGAGACTCAGGTAAGGGTGACAGAACCAGGGCTCAGTATGAAAACGTCTTCACAGCAGGGGACGGCTGGATCGCACTGTGGAGTTCCTCCTCTGGGAAGGAAAGGAGGAGGAAGACCTGAGGATTCCCTGGGACTGCTTCCCTTCTTGGGACTCTATTCCAAGGGGCCCCCATGAGCCCTGGAGAGCCAGTATTTCCCAGAAGTTTGGAATATGAAAGTTTGTCCTGCTTTTATGTTTGTATCCCCCTTTTATCTGGAAGCCTTCAATTAAGTCTTGATGAATTGGTCCACGTCATGTCTGCTAGCTACTGGAGAGTTAGGACAAAATGTGTGACAAAACTAGATGTGCCTGAAGAAGCAGCAATGTCCCTGAGGAAAATGTAACCAGCACCAAGGGAGCCCCAGGGGACAATTCGCTGGGGCCAGCAGGGCCAATGCTGGGAGTTCTAATCGTCCTTGACTCTGTGGACATTCTTCTTCTCCTGTGGAACTCGGACTACTTGGTTTTAATTTCTCTGTGCCACCCTGTCTCTTTTCTCATTAACATCTGCATTGTTCTGCCTTTAATTTTCTCCTCTCTGAAGTTTTGAGTTCATGTTTATTATTCCTTTAGAAAAAGACACATTTCGACTTTCTCCCTTTTCAAACTGTCTTTGGGAACTTCTTTTTTCTTCCCTCAAGCAAATGTCACAGAGTCACATCTGAATTGAATAAACATGTACTTTGTATTCAGAAAAATAAAGACTCAAGAATTTCATTTGGTTTGTCTAAACACTATTTTAATATTTTTTTTTCAAAAAATAATCACCCTGTTTAATTTTATGTTTAAATATTGTTTTAAAATAACTTGCTTCAGTTACTTTGCAAATGTTTTGAGAAATAGTTTGTAAAGAAGTTTAATTACATTTGGGTGTCTATAAGTTTTTTGCTAAAGGGTGTCAATGTGCGAATTCCAGAGACTAGTTTGCATCTGGATTCCTAATAGGGATGTATTTTAATCTCCTTTGAGGGTGCAAATAATTTCCCTATTGATTAGGGTATATGCTAAGTGGACACATGCTTATGAACTCTGCTCTTTGGCCAAATGGCTCTACATTTCTGATTGAAAGATTTTCAATAGGTAATACATTGCATGGCTAAAAATTCAAAATGTATTGAAGAGTGTATGTAGAATATCTTCTTCCTGTCTCTTTTCTTCTGGGGCCTTCTTCTCAGTTTTATGTGTGTCCTTCTAGAGGTACTTTATTCTAATCTCTAATAATGAGCCAATCAAGGAACCTATATACTGCTGTACTCTATACCACTTAGCACTAAGTAACCAACTAACTTATTAACTAACACTACGTCGTTTCTGTGTCTTTCTACACCAATGGTTGCGTATCATCTTGAAGGACTCTGGCTTTCTCTCATACACGGTGTGGGGGGGAACTAGGGAAAGTCAGTGTTATCAGTAGAAAAGCTACTTTATTGCACGTATGCTTGGACCGTTGCTTCTGGGGATGTTGGTCATGTAAGCAAGCTAACGGTGATGGTGTCACTGCTTCTGCAGCCCCTTTTTCACTGGTGAATGGAGCACTACTGGGGTCACTGAGGAGATATGTGTCACTCGCCAAGTTGGCTGCCACTCGAAAACCCGCCATGAGGGATAGGAGGCAGTGCTTGCTATCTGTCATCCTGCTGCCACTGGACCATCCCTGTGAGACTTTCTCAATAAAGCTTTAGGCCTGGTGCACAGTCTCTGGGCATTTTCTTTGGTCTCTTGATAACCTATCCCACTGCCCTGCGTGACTGGGCTGTGGACATGCCAGAGTAAAGCCTGTGCGGGGGAGATTTTCTTTTGAAGAGAAGAGATTGGGCTTATTCTCCTTGGGAGAAGCAGGGAGGTTCTGCTGTCAGGGAAGCTTTGTCTGTGACTTCCCAGGCTTGTTCAGAAGGCCACAGAACAAGCTTCTGCCATACCCGGATGCCCCTCCCTTGTCTCTGAGTGATGCTAAACACCTCTCAGCTCCAGTTCCTGCTGTCCTCCTCCTCTTCCTTTATTCTCCAGGAGACTGAACCATTGCTCATGGCATGACCCTGAGCCCCAAGTTTTGCTCTCATTTTGCACTGATTTATTTTCCATGAAAAAATAGTTTAAAAGCTTTCCCAAGGCAAATGTCTCTGGTGATATTTAGGCTCTGTTTTGTGAATCAATATCAGAAAAGTAGACTCTAAATCCGTCCTTTGACAGACAGGACCTGTCTAGCCAGGGGTTTGCCATTTGACATGTGGCATGAGATCAGATGTGAGTTGTTTTCACAGATGACAGAAAAAACACCAAGGGTGCTCTGTTTATTTTTGCTGAGTTTTTAGAGTATTACTCAGATGGTATGGCATCTTCTCATTAAAAAAAAAAAAACAGAACGGTGAGACAGTGGAAGACAATTTCTCACTACACCTTCATTCAATTCTCAACGTTGAGATCTGTTTGTTCATTGTCGCTTCTAACATTTCTCTGTACTCTAAGTCACTTCCAGTCTATATCCTCCAGCTTGCTCCTTCTTTTACTCTTTGAACCCTACCTTAAACTCTACCTTAAATTCTGCCTGGCCTGTGGAATCTGCCATCACCGAGGGAAGCAGCAGTATAAATGGTTGATTCACTTACTCCTTCCTCTTAAGCATGAAAGAGAGTTTGTTGGACTAAAAAAGAAAAAAAAAAGATTATGCTATTTATATTTTTACCTCTATTATTTTACCTGCCTGGTGGAAAGGAAGAGCTTTCTTCTAGACTGCATCACAGATGTGCCCTTCTCATAACAACAACTCTGCGATCCTGTTACAGTCTGTAATGCAAACTCCTTGGCTTTGTTTTCCAAGTCTACCATGTGCACCCCCCCCCCCCCCCTTTCCAGTTCCTGCTCTTCCTAATGACAACTCAGAATGCCATCTTTGCTGTCACCAAACCGGTTTGCTCTCTCCTCTCTGGTGAACCTTCCTCTCTTTACCTCCTCCCTGGCTTATGTCATTCCCCAGAACGAACCACCCTCTCTCTTTCTGCTCAGTCATGCATAGAAATTCTAGTTTTTCTAAGACCCAATGTATTCTACCTTTCCCTTTAATTCCTTTGCAAACCCCTTGAACTTCTTTCCCCTCTGTAGGGGAATTCCACAAATTCCATGGGGCTTCTAATCTCTATCTCCTAATTGGCGGTTAACCAAATATTTTACTTTTTGCATTATTGGGTTATGTTGTAATTGTTTTCTTTTTCTTTTCGGTATTTATCTCTTATCTTTCCAAATCATCTCCAGGTTGTAAAGAGGATGTTGCACTCCGTGGAGCCTGACATGGATTTGTTTACTAGTTGGTATTTCTTTCCAAGACCTGTGTGATGTCCCAGGTCTTGTGATGCTCAGCACAAAGGATTGGACTTGGAAGAGATGTTCATTAAATAAGGAATTTATCAGATTGATTGTAGATGAAGTTGACATTCAGGACAATGATGAGGGTAATAACAGGGATTTTCTGGATGTTCACTCAATCAACAAATGTGTTATTTTAGATTTCTGATTGGTGAATCTGGTTGGGAAAAGGCCAGAGCTACCAAAAAGAGTCCAGAGCTTACATCATCCTTTATTCAGGCTTTCAAAAGAAAAGAGAACATCTTTCCAACACACACACACGCATTCTTGTGTGTACAGTTGACAAACACTTTCTGCCTTCGTACAAGTTTGATTATCTTTTGGGGAAGAACCTCCTTTTCATTTCTGAGTTTTTGTGTGTTTCTCTGTTCCTACAACCAAATTCTCACACAGTATTTAGCTCAGGGCACCAGCAGCACCATCATGCTGGAGCTGAACATGACGGCCTAGTGTGTGACACGCATACTGACCACAAGTCTCAGCAGTTTGTGTCCACAGGTGGGCAGGCCCATGGTGACTTCCATCTCCATGGCAGAATTATCTAGACCCACAAGGGGGAGGAGACAGCTGCCAGCAGCACACAGAGACTTGGGTTGACCACTATCTTGTAATGCAGGAGTTACAGATGGCCACGTAGTGCTCATAGGCCCTTGTAGCCAATTACATGAACTTGATTTCCCAAGGTCCAGGGAGAAGAAAAGTAGAGTCCCACATTCGGTGCAGAAGTTGGTCTTCTCCTCCATGAGGAGGTGCACAAGCGTGGGGGCCCTGCAGGAGTGAAAGCAGATGCCCATGCAGAGAGGTTGCAGAGGAAGAAGGGCCTGGGCAGGTGCAGTTAGTTGTGTGTGCCCAGCCCAATCAGGGGGACAGGAAGCCTGTTGCCCAGTAGGGTCAGCAGGTAGGTGGCTAAAAACAGGACAGAGTCCAACCTGGGCCTGTCTGTCACTGGAGAGAGCCATTAGCACAAACTTGCCTGCCCAGCTCACCTTGTCCAGCCTCATGGAGCAGGTGGGACAGGTTGCAGGGATTTGGAAAGGCCTAATCAGAATCAGAATTCACAAATGTGTGTGTGTGTGTGTGTGTGTGTGTGTATTTATTTATTTATAGAGTGCTTGAGTAAAAGGTGTTTAAGTTGCCTTTGAGGCTTGTGCTCTGATCATGTAGGACATTGAACTTCTGTTCTGGAAACCCCCTTGAACTTACTGCTCAGGCTGGAAGCACTGGCCCTTCGTGCTTCTCCCATAATCCAGGCTGGATCAATGACAGAAAATTGCTCAGCTGGTTCCCAGTGATTAACCAGGCTTTGTCCTATGTTGATAAGATCAGGGCCTCATTGTGGGTTGTTATATCAACTATAATTATGTCCCAACTTTTGGAGATTATGCTGTTTCCTTGGTGAAATGCTGGCATTTGTTTGACTATGAAAGTAAGTGACTAATAAATATAAATGCACACATCACTCTTGCAATGACAACCCCTGGAAGCTGCCAGTGCCCACAGATGAAGTCAGTGAGGGAGTGCCTCTGCAGTCCTTTGGCTTTGTTTGGGGTAAACTGTGCTGTCACTGCAAAGACATGTTTGCCCTCAGCACATCTCCCTGTTTACTTTGCCTGCTTTTGGCACAGGAGAGAGATGTCATGCTTCCCCGCACCCCCCACCCCAGCAAATTTATTAAGGAATTTTGTGATTTCTTTCTTTATGAAGAGCAAATCTCTCTAACACACCCTTCAATAGTCACATCGTGTCTTTTCACAATGTGGTGGAAGAAAGTCGTGCAAATGGCTACTATGAGAGTAAGGAGAGCCCACAGGGAAGCAGAGAACAGCTCATACAGACAACCACGAGGGGATGCTTGTGGGGGAAGGAAAAGCTCCAGACTTTAGTGGTTGCCTGTGAAAATGCCACGGGACCCATGATGGCTACTAGAGCAGGACTTCCAACTGTGGCTGCACATAATGGCCACCCTGGAAGCTTGAAAAATTCTAGAAGCCAAAACCACATTCCAGAGCAATTAAGCCTGAATCCCAGCTGGGTGAGACCCAAACATTATGTTTCTCAGGCAGTTAAATATGAAGCTAGGTTCGAAAATCTCTGCTTTAGAGGAAACCTTAACCTTATTTTTGAAAGACTTAAGACATCGTTGTGGAGAGAGAAATATGTTTTGAGATCAGTCTAGGGAAGGAAAGATCTTTGGGGTTAACCTCTTATTTCACATTCAAGAAAGCTGAAAC